TTTATTTTTTCTTTTGCTGCTTGTGCTTTCAGGCTCAAGTTCATAAAGCCTGTGTCCAGACCTAATTCCTGAAGTGTATCACCTATATTTTCCCTTAGTAATTTTACAGTTTCAGGTCTTATACTTAAGTCTTTATACATTTTGAGTTGATTTTAGTGTATGGTGAGAGATGCATATCTAGTTTCATTCTTCTGCATATGGATATCCAGTTTTCCCAGCACCACTTGTTGAAATGGCAGTCTTTTTCCCAACATATATTTTTGTTGCCTTTGTCATATCGTATGGCTGTAAGCCTGAGAGGTGATTTCTGGGTTCTCAATTCTACTCCACTGGTCTGAATGTCGATTTTTATACCAGTACCATTCTGTTTTGGTTATAATAGCTTTGTAGTATAATTTGAAGTCAGGTAGTGTTATGCCTCTTGCTTTATTCTTTTTGCTCAGGATTGCTTTAGCTATACGGGGTCTTTTGTTTTTCCATAAGAAAGGTAAGATTGTTTTTTCCAATTCTGTGAAGAATGTCATGGTATCTTGATGGGGATTGCATTGAATCTGTAGATCACTTTGGGAATTATAGACAGTTTCACAATGTTAATTCTTCAAATTTGAGAGTATGGAATATCTTTCCATCTTTTTGTGTCTTCTTTAATTTCTTTCAGAAGTGGTTCGTAGTTCTCATTGTAGAGGTCTTTCACCTTCTTGGTTAAATTGATCCTTAGGTATCTTGTTTTTTGTGTGACAGTTGTAAATGGGCTTACTTTCTTTATTTCTGTTTCTGTTAATTCATTATATGAATATATAAATGCTACTGATTTGGGGGCATTTATTATTGAAGTTATTAACTAGCTCTAGGGGTTTTTTGATAGAGTCTTCAGGTTTTTCTATATATATTATCATGTCATCTGCAAATAGGGAAAGTTTGACTTTGTGTTTTCCAATCTGGATTCNACAGTTGTTTATAATAGTCTCTAATGATTCTTTGTATTTCTGTGGTATCAATTGTAATGTTTCCATTTTCACTTCTGCTTTTTTGTTCTTTGGGTTTTCTCTCTTCTTTTTTATGTTAACCTAGCTAATGGTTTATCTATTTTATTTATCTTCTCAAAAAACCAAACTTTTGTTTTGTTGATCTTTCCTATTGTTTTTATGGCTTTCTATTTCATTTAGTTCTTCTGTGATCTTAATTATTTCTTTCTGTACTACCTTTAGGTTTAGATTGTTGTTGTTTTTCAAGTTCTTTGATTTGTCATGTTAGGTCATTTGTGTGAAGTCTTTCCATTCTTTTGATATAAGTATTTATTGCAATAAATTTGCCTATTAGTACTGCTTTTGCCATACCCCACAGGTTTTGGTATGATGTATCTTTATTTTCATTAGTTCCTAGACATTTTTTGATTTCCTGTTTCATAGGTCATGCAGGAGCCTATTATTTAGTTTCCGTGTATTTGTATAGCTTCCAGAATTTTGCTTATTGTTTATTCCCAGTTTTAGTCCATTGTGGTCTGAAAAGGTAGTTGGAATGATTTCGATTTTTTAAAATTTGCTGAGACTAGATCTGTGACCTAATATGTGGTCTATCCTGGAGAATGTACCATGAGCTGATGAGAAGAAAATGTATTCTTTATTTCTTGGTTGAAATGTTCTGTGTATATCTGCCAAGTCCAGTTGGTCTAAGGTGTAGATTAAATCTTGTGTCTCTTTGTTGACTTGTTGCCTGGAAGATCTGTCCCATACTGAGAGAGGGGTGTTCAGATCACCCACTATTAATGCATTATGTCCTATTTCTTTCTTTAGGTGTATGAGTGTTTGCTTTATATATCTGGGTGCTCCAGTATTGGGTGCATACATGTTTATGATTGTTATGGCTTCTAGCTGGATAGATCCCTTTATCATTATATAATGGCCATCTTTGTCTTTTTTATGTTTTTTGGTTAATGTCTAATTTGTGCGATATAAGAATAGCTACTCCTGCTTGTTTTTGGTTTCCTTTTGCATGGTATATCTTTTTCCATCCCCTCACTTTTAGTCTATGTGTGTCTCTACAGGTGAGGTGGGTCTCTTGAAGACAGCATATATTTGGGTCTAGCTTTTTAATCCAATCAGTCAGTCTGTGTCTTTTGAATGGGGAGTTTAGTCCATTCACATTTAGAGTAGTTATTGACAAGTGTTGCTTAATTCCTGTCATTTAATTACTTCTTGTTTAGATGGTTTAAATATCTTTTAATTATTAGTTCCCCTTTTATTTCTCTTCTTCAATGTTAGTTGGGATTTAAGGTGGGATGATTTAGCTTCTTTCTCTTTCTTCCTGGCACTTTTGTTTTAACAAAAATGGGTTTTGCTCTTTCTTGTGTATTTGTGGTAGTGGTCACCATTATTCAGATTCCAGATGAATGAGTCCCTTGAGAATTTCTTGCAGGGCTGCTTTTGTGGTGGTGAATTCCCACAACTTTTTTTTTGTCTGGGAAATACACTATTTCTCCCTCATTTCTGAAGGAGAGCCCTGCTGAGTAAAGAATTCTTGGCTGGCAATTTTTTTCTTTAATAGTTTGAATATATATTCCACTTTCTTCTAGTCTGTAGGGTTTTGGTTGAGAAGTCTGCTGTTAGTTTGATGGGGGTTCCCCTATAAGTGACCTGATGCTTTTTTCTTGCTGCTTGTAAGATTTTCTCTTTGTCTTTGAGCTTTGCAAATTTAACTATAATGTGTCTTGGGGAGGATCTTTTTGGGTTGAATCTGTTTGGGGACCTTTGAGCTTCACAGATCTGAAGGTCTGTATTGTGCCCTACACTTGGGAAGTTTTTTGTTACTATTTCCTTGAGTAGGTTTTCAATACCTTTTCCTTCCTCCTCTCCTTCAAGAATACCCAGGATTCGGATGTTAGAGTGCCTAAGGTTGTCTGCTATCTCTCTTAGATTTTCCTCATTATTTTAAATTCTTTTTTCCTTTTTTTTTTTTGTCTGTCTGAGTTATTTCAAAAAGACCATCTTCAAGCTCTGAAATTCTATCTTCTGCTTGCTCTACCCTGCTGCTTGTTCTCTCTGTTTTTTTTTTTTTTTTAAATTTTATTGAGTGAGTCATTTCCAGAAGTTCTGCTACCCTCTTTTTAAGGTATTAAAACCCTCTTTGTAGATTTCCTCCTTCATATTCTGGATATTTTTTTCTTGTTTCATTGTGTTCTCTAATTGAGTCTTCCTTTATTTCTTCAAGTTTTCTTAAGATCATTGCTTATTTCAGATATTTCAAGGATTCCCTGTTCCATGGAGTCTGACTTTGGAGAATTACTGTATTCACTTGGTGGTGTCATTTCTTCTTGATTGTTTGTACTTCTTGTATTTTTTTGTTGACGTTTGGTCATTTGGTAGAGGGTTTGCTTCTTCTGTTATACTGGGGCTGGCTGTGGAGTGGCCCTGGTTGCTACTGTGGAGGTGAATTGCCTTTGCTTGACAGTAGGTGTGGTGGTGGTTATGTTAAACCACCTTGGTTCCTGTTCCAGAAAGCACCATGAGGTTCTGCTGGGCACATATCAGCAGGTCAGGCCCTGCAGGCTGGTGTTCCCCCCTGGGTCCAAAGAGGGGGGAGATGGAGGGGCCACCTCTGGCTGCATGGTTCAGCTGCTGCTGCTGGGCTCACCTCAATGCAGGGTTGGGGCACAGGCCCTCATAAATTTTTAAAGAAATTAAATTAAAATTTTAAAAAATGATTGGATAACATGATCTATTTAGTCATTGTGTATTAATTACAGTCATGCACTGCATAACCATGTTTTGGTCAATGACAGACTGCATGTACGTTGGTGGTTGGGGCAATAGGCTATCCCATTCAGCCTCAGTGTGTAGTAGGCTATACCATCTATATTTCTGTAAGTATACTCGATGATGTCGCACATGACGAAACTGCCTTTTTACAGAACATATCCCCTTTGTGAAGTGATTCATGACTGTATATTGGTAGGAACTGAGATTTTTTTCCAACTAACATTATGAGCAAAACGACCCATCCCCTCTCACCAGAGATATGAGATTCCCT